AAAAAAAAAAAAAAAGATAGCCAAGTGGAAACTCCAGGGGGAGGGGTAACTGTTCAAGAAAGGAAATACGATTATAGTGTGTTACTTGGTTCTGCAGTGAACAATATTTACATAATCAAAATAGTGTCAATCCTGATTATTGGTTTTCAGCTTCTAAAGCCAACCTGTAGACAAAACTGGGAAGACTAAATTTACTCTTAGCCCAGAAAATGCAAAAGCCAAGTGAAGTTGGAGGTAGGGATAAAATGGGGATGAGAATGAAAAATGATAGGCCAAGAAGTTGATACTTTGTCCACCACCACAGGAAAGCACATTATTTGGAATAGAGAGGTGGTTGCCAAAAGAAACAGCTAAACTAATTGAAAATGGTTGCCTCTAGGCAGCAGGTTTAGCCATGAGGAAGGATGTGGGAAGGATCTTGATTTACATTAGAAATCCTTTTGTACTTTTCCTTTCTTTTTTACTATGTACATGAGTCCTTTGATACAACTTTTAAAAAAATGTAATGCATCTATCCAGATATTTCTTGCCGTGTCTTACTTATCTAGTGCTGCTATAACAGAAAAACCGCAAGTGGATGTCTTTAACAAACAGAAATTTATTTTCTGGTTTAGGAGGCTAGAAGTCCAAATTCAGAGCGCCAGCTCTAGGGGAGTGTTTTATCTCTCTGTGTTTCTTGTTCTAGGAGGTTCTCAGTACAGGGACCCTTGGTCCAAAGGATGCACTCTCAGCTCTTTTTTTTTTTTTTTTTAATGGTAGTAGGTCCCTCCTCTTTTCTCTCTCCTTTTATCTAAGTTAAAGGTGATGCAGGCCATCAGGGAAACCCCTGTTACATATGATCGGGGCTGAGATCTGATTAAGCATGTTGCATCCCACCGTAATTCCCTTACATCATATTGGAGCTGTGACCTAAGGAAGGGTGGTGCATTCCACCATAATCCTCTTACAACTGATTGGCTGATCACATCAGATCACATCATAGGGGATAATTACATCATTACATAACTGCCAAGGAGAATCATGGCCCAGCCAAGTTGACACATATTTTGGGGGAACACAACTCAATCCATGACATCTTGATAAAGACATCATATGCAAACATTGAAAAATAAAGCATTTAAGACAAATCTGGTATAGCATCCCTACAGTATTTCTCTGGGATATTGAGGTACTGTTTTGGTTACTAAGTGCCACTCTAACAGGAATATACCACAAATGGGATGGCTCTAACAAACAGGAGTTTATTCTTACAATTTTGGGAGGCCAGAAGTCCAAGTTCCAAGTGCCTCTGGTAGCATAGTGCCTAATGCACTTGACTGCTAACCAGAAGGTTGGCAGTTCAAATCCACTAGCCACTCCTCGGAAGAAAGATGGGGCAATCTACTTCCGTAGTGATACTGCCTTGGAAACCCAAGGAGGGGTCGCTATGAGTTAGGTCCAACTCGACAGCACATAACAACAACAACAACAGAAGTCCAAGTTCCAAGTTCCAGGCTATGTGAAAGCCCCTCTACCTTGGGCTTCAGCTCTGCCTCTTGCTCCCGGCCCACTGAAGCTAGAGGCATCTCTTCACTCAGGCAGCTACTGGCTGCTGAGGCTAATAAACCCAAGGTCAACAAATAACATGGCACAATCCCAATGTTACCAAATAGCCAGGCATTAATTCAAGTCCATCGAAAGTCCCAAGATCAGCAGGGCATGCCAGGCTGCTGAACAACATGTTGGCAACATGCAGGATTCAAGCATGCCAAATAGCTAGAGACCATTCCCAAAGTTGCTTCTTATATACAGAAAGCAGACCACATTCCTAAAGCAGCTACTCAGCTGCTTCAATAGATTCCTTCATGGAGTTGATTGCCAGTCTCATCATGGGGAATAACTACCACCAGCCACCTAGCCACTCAACCAGGCCCACCCAAGTTGGCATTCAACCTTAACTACCACAGATACCTTTCTATTAAATGAATCCTGGTGGCACAGTTGTTAAACTCTTGCTGCTCACTGGTGGGTCAGTGGTTTGAACCCACCAGCTGCTCTGCAGGAGAACAATGTGACAGTCTGCTTGCCTAAAGATAGACAGCCTTATGAAGCATTTCTGTTCTGCCCTACAGGGTCACTATGAGTCAGTAGGTTTTTTTCCTACTAATAATTTACTTCAGTTGAAGTATATTCAGTTCAGTTGTTACAATTCAACACTAGTAAGCTAAAAAGCAGTCTCATCTGAGTTATCCACTTATGCACAAAAAGGAAAAAGACCTTTGTCCATTCTCTGTCCTCTGAATAAGGACCCTTGGTGGTGCAGTGGTTAAGTACTTGCCCACTAACAGAAGTTGCTAAGCCACCAGCTGCTCTGTGGGAGAAAGATGTGGCAGTCTGCTTCTTGTAAAGATTTACAGTCTTGTATACCCTCTGGGGCAGTTCTACTCTGTCGTACAGGGTCACTATCAGTTGGGATCAACTTAATAGCAGTGGGTTTGGTTTGTCCTCCAAATAAAATGATACTTTTCTTCTTGCTTGCAGAAAGAGGACTGAGTAATCTAAGCCAATGTGAAAAACCCCTTTGGAGGGTCTCTTGAAAAAGAATCAACTCAAAAAGCAATATGACAAAGTTGGCCGCATATGAAACATGATTGATTGCCTGATCTTTCCATAATACCTTCTAGAGAATTTGTCATACCCTCAGCTTCTGAGAGTCAGCCCTACATATTGGATAACTGTGCACCTAGACCTAAACCCACCACTTCTCACCTGTCTCATTTTCAATATGGTTGACCACATTAGGTATATACACTTGACACATGCTTAAGCCAAAAAAAAAAAGGATTCTCATTTTAAGGTTTAAGAACATACAAATTTCATGCAAACAAATTTGTATTTAAGAAACAGAAATTTCACACAAACATTACATTTGTTTTGCAAATTAAATGATCTAAATCAGTGCCTATAAAGTTTTTTGATCTTTGACCCACAATAAGAAATGCGTTTGGGTGTGACCCAGGACCCACATCACTGAAACAAAAACAAGATCTGCGTCTTAGTGTGTGTGATGTACTGTAAAAATTTCTATTCAAATCTGTTTTAATTTTTTTAATACTGGCCATTTAAAATGACTTTAATAATCCACTAATGTATTGTGAGGAGCTCTGGTAGTATAGTGCCTTAGACACTTGACTGCTAACCAGAAGCCTGGCAGTTCAAATCCACCAGCCACTCCACAGAAGGAAAGTTGGGCAATCTACTTCCATAGTGATACCACCTCGGAAACCCAAGGAGGGGTTGCTATGAGTCGGGTCCGACTCGACAGCACATAACAACAACAGCAATGTGTTGTGAGGAGCTCTGGTAACACTGTGGTTAAGGCATTGGGCTGCTAACCAAAAGGTTGGTGGTTTGAACCCACCAGCTGCTTCACAGAAGAAAGATGAGGCACTCTGCTCCCATAAAGATTTACCACCTTGGAAACACTATGGGGGGAGAGGTGGATTTCTACTCTGTCTTACAGGAACACTAGGAGTTGGAATTGACTCAGTGGCAGTGAGTGGTGGAACGTATTGTGGTTCAGTTTGAAAAACACTGCTCTACATTAGTGTTTTTTTTTTTTCTCCCTCTCTCTCACCATATAATGTGCTTATGAAATTTAAAGCTTATTTCTGAAGACCAGCTGAGACTTCTTAGTGAAACTATTTATTACTGATGTGTAAAAAACATTTATTATATAAAGTTGGCTTCTATCACGTTTGTTAGCATATTTCCCTTCTTTTTCATGTATTTCTTTATTCCTTCCTTAAATTTTTTTTTTAATCGCTGGCCCTGTGGGTCACATATTATGAAAAACTACATTCTGTATTATTTTTGAGGTGTATACCAGCTATGTATATAAGTTATGCAGTTATGTTTCTTGATTTATATCCGTATGTCCGTATGTTTGCATGTGCCACAAGAAGTACAGATTTCAACCAACCATCTGCTGTGCTTATGAAACATCAAAACCCAACCTTCTCTCAATTATTGGAATCTTGCGATATTTTCTAAATGTAGCAAATCCCATGTTTAAAGAAATGCCTAATTATAAACATCGCTTGTCATGCACACACATTTTAGCTAACACTATGCAGTAACAAAATTACCATGAAGTTTGTTGTGCTAATGGAACTCTAAAGAACTAATTTAGTTTATTTGGCTATTTTTTTCTTATTAAGAACTACAAGCAGCTGTTGAAGAGGTGCTGCCAAGTCTGAAGAAAGATGATGTGTCCATCTATTATGTGAGCAGAACTTCCAACACGGATGGGATTGACTCTTTACTGGATAAAGTGGACGAAGTGTCAGCTGACCCTATCCCAGAGTCTTGGAGGTCTGAAGTCACTTTTTCCACTCCTGCCTTATACATTTATACCTCAGGAACCACAGGTAAAAAAAAAAAAAAGAGAGAGAGAGAGAGAGGATTCTCAAATAAATGGAGCAATACTGAAGGAGTTAAATATGGGTTAGATTTTCAAGTGTTCTTTTTCTTTTATAAAACTTATCAGATAACTAATCCTTGGGGGATTAAACTCTTCGCCTGTGGGAAGTGATCTTATTTCATAGCATATGATCCCATTTGGGTTTCTCCAAACTACACATATTTTCCCCCTTATTGTCATAGAAGAGAGAAAAAATTAACCAATCACTCCAAAAAGTAATTAAGATAATGGATGAAATTTGACACTGAATTGTTAGAATTTTTGTTAGAATTCTTGTTGGAATTTTTGTTACAATTCTTTAGAATGCTTACAATTTGGAACTTCTATTAGAATTTTATTGTTGGGATTTTTTAAACAATTGTTATAGTTTGATTACATTATGGTCAGAGTCTATAGATAATGTATAATCAAATATAAATGGAGCACCAGAGAAAACTATAGGACAGTGTTGGGTTTATATTTATTTAAATGTTTTGACCAAGACCCATCTTCCCACACACAATGACTTGGAGCTGCCTGGTGCTATGGATGTAGGATGCCTCCAGTGAAGGGCCTGAAGTCCTATATTTCATCAAATCCAGGATGCCTTCATCTATAAGCTGCACCAATACTTTATGAGCCACTAAGAAAGAAAAAAATGCTGCCAATTAAATAACCAAGGTTTCTTGAGGTAAACTTGAACCTCCAACCATTAGGTTAGCAGCAAGGTGCATTAACCATTTGTACCTCTCAAGAACTCCAGCCCCAACATATTAATTATTATGTTATTGTTGTTATGTGCTGTCGAGTCAGACCCAACTCATAGCGACCCCTCCTTGGGTTTCCGAGGCAGTATCACTACGGAAGTAGATTGCCCCATCTTCCTTCCGAGGAGTGG